AATAGGGCATAAAAAAGTCATAGTTGATCCCTCGCTGTCCCCCACCCCGCTAAACTTTTCCTTTAAGGTTTTAGAACCAAGATTTCTCTATCTGCTTTTGATTGATTTTCAATTCCATTGCGTGCAAGGCTCCTGTTACCAACTTCGGTTAGATATTGATATTTGCATATAGTCATTTTTCTTGATTTTTTCCAGTTTTATACTGTTCTTGTTCTAGTGCTATACTATTTTCATTTTATTTGTTCCAGTTCTAAACTGTTCTTGGTCTTGTGCTATACTATTTCTTTTATTTCTTTCAGTTCTATACTGTTCTTGGTCTTGTACTATACTATTTCTTTTATTTGTTCCAGGTCTATACTGTTCTTGTTCTATTTCTATACTATTTCTTTTTATTTTGTTCCAGTTCTATACTGTTCTTGGTCTTGTGCTATACTATTTTTATTTTATTTGCTCTAGTTCTATACTGTTCTTGCTCTAGTTCTATACTATTTCTTTTATTTGTTCCAGTTCTATAATGTTCTTGGTCTTGTGCTATACTATTTCTTTTTATTTGTTCCAGTTCTATAATGTTCTTGATCTTGTGCTATACTATTTCTTTTATTTGTTCCAGTTCTATACTGTTCCTGCTTTAGTTCTATACTATTTCTTTTTATTTGTTTCAGTTCTATACTGTTCTTGGTTTTGTGTTATACTATTTCTTTTATTTGTTCCAGTTTTATACTGTTCTTGTTCTAGTTCTATACTATGTCTTTTATTTGTTTCAATTCCATATTGTTCTTGATCTTGTGCCATACTATTTCTTTTCTTGTTCTAGTTCTATGCTATTTCTTTTTATGTCTTCTAGTCTATACTGTTCTTGTTCTAGTTCTATACTTATTTCTTTTTATTTGGTCCAATTCTATACTGTTCTTGTTCTAGTTCTATACTTATTTCTTTTTATTTGGTCCAATTCTATAATGTTCTTTGTCATCTAGTTCAGGTTCACTTTGTTACTGAATTAAGTATAGATACTTAGATACTTCGATTTAGAGATTCAATTCACTCAAACTTTCATAGTTTTGTGTTTCCTTTATCTTTGTTCTTGCCTTTTGTGCAATAATTTAGTTTTTCAATACTTGTAAAGTTTTGAATTAATAAAAGCACCACTAACTTCTTCTCCAAAAAAAATTCAATATTTCCTTAGTGATTTATGTAAAAGTTTGCTTTTATTAAACTATTGAAAATGTGTTTCATAAGAAAAAGTATAGGGATAGAAAACATACAATATAATTTCATTTTTTTAATTGAAATCACTTCTTGTGTTACGATATTTCTTAGGTATTCTTTTATTTTAGTTATTGTGTTGCTATGTTTTTCTTCTCAGTGTATGTGTCATTATCGTTTCTGAAGATACTTTTTTTTTGCTTCAAATCAAATCAAAACTATTATTTCCGCACGATTTTTTAAGGTTTTAGTTCTTGGTTTCTCTGGTTTTTACGTTCTTGTTTGCATTCCGTGTCTTATTGCTCTCATATTTCTTTTTTTTTCAAGGAACAGTTTTTAACAAATTTCCCATGTTCTTGGTTCTCTTCTAGTGGATATTAATGATGTACATTTAAACATTCCCGAACCTGGAGGAATAAATATTTATAAATGTGTGTATGCTCTCCTGAGTCCAAACTTTATTTTAGAAATTCATTCTTTGGCTAGATAAAATACTTTGCACAAGCCAGGTAAAAGGAAAATGTGTATCTGCATCAAGGAGTGTATCTACATAAAATATGTTTTGACTGATATACATACTGAGAAAGAAACAACTGTTTTATTACAGTCAGCGGACTATATTAGTTGGAAAAAATACCGCATAGTGCACATAATTCGTATATTCATTATGTGCAGCCTTGTAAAAACATAACGTTGATATTCAGCAGTTTATATCAGTTGGTAAAAATTGCACTTTATCAGTTGTTTGAAAATTGCACTATCACCTACATTAATAGTTAAAAGTAAGATATTTAAGAGTTTTAATTTGAAACGGAATAGTTCTACAGACATTTAAGAGTTTTATTTAAAACGGAGAAGTACTGCAGACATTTAAGATTTTTATTTGAAACGGAATAATGCTGCAGACATTTAAGGGTTTTATTTGAAACGGAATATTACTGCAGACATTTAAGAGTTTTATTTAAAACGGAGAAGTACTGCAGACATTTAAAGAGTTTTATTTGAAACGGAAAAGTACTGCAGACATTAAGAGTTTTATTTGTAACGGAATAATACTGCAGACATTTAAGGGTTTTAATTTGAAACTGAATAGAACTGCACTCTGCAGACATTTGAGGGTTTTAATTTGAAACGGAATAAAACTGTACTCTGCAGACATTTGAGGGTTTTTAATTTGAAAAGGATTAAAACTGTACTCTGCAGACATTTGAGGGTTTTAATTTGAAACGGAATAAAATTGTACTATGCAGACATTTGAGTGTTTTAATTTGAAACGGAATAAAACTGCAGACATTTAAGAGTTTTATTTGAAACGAAATAATGCTGCAGACATTTAAGAGTTTTATTTGAAACGGAATAAAACTGCAGAAATTTATGAGTTTTATTTGAAACGGAATAATGCTGCAGAAATTTAAGAGTTTTATTTGCAACGGAATAATGCTGCAGACATTTAAGAGTTTTATTTGAAACGGAATAAAACTGCACTCTGCAGACATTTGAGGGTTTTAATTTGAAACTGAATAACACTGCAGACATTTGAAAGTTTTAATTTGAAATGGAATAATACTGCAGACATTTAAGGGTTTTATTTGAAACGGAATAATGCTGCAGACATTTAAGGCTTTTATTTGAAACTGAATAAAACTGCAGACATTTAAGAGTTTTATTTGAAACGGAATAAAACTGCAGACATTTAAGAGTTTTATTTGAAACGGAATAATACTGCAGAAATTTAAGAGTTTTATTTGAAACGGAATAAAACTGCACTTTGCAGACATTTGAGGGTTTTAATTTGAAACTGAATAATCTTGCAGACATTTGAGGGTTTTAATTTGAAATGGAATAATACTGAAGACATTTAAGGGTTTTATTTGAAACGGAATAATGCTGCAGACATTTAAGAGTTTTATTTGAAATGGAATAAAACTGAAGACATTTAAGAGTTTTATTTGAAACGGAATAAAACTGCACTCTGCAGACATTTGAGGGTTTTAATTTGAAACTGAATAATCTTGCAGACATTTGAGGGTTTTAATTTGAAATGGAATAATACTGAAGACATTTAAGTGTTTTATTTGAAACGGAATAATGCTGCAGACATTTAAGAGTTTTTTTTGAAATGGAATAAAACTGAAGACATTTAAGAGTTTTATTTGAAACGGAATAAAACTGCACTCTGCAGACATTTGAGGGTTTTCCAAAAAAAATTCACGGTCAGGTTCTTAGTTGGGTAACTGCATCTAGTTGAAAACACTAACTTTCAGCATTTCATTGTTTATTTCTTGTTGCATATTCTAAAAGCCTAAACTATAGTTTTTAAACTTTCAGTAAACATTCCATTGATTGAATACTGAGTAGTGAGCATGGCAAGGCTTTTTTCCAGTTTACAAGAACGACTATAATTTAGATATTTTACCTTGTGATCATTTCTTCTTGTACACTTGTACCACTGTACATAATCAGTACAACTTGTTCATATAACAGGTTACTTCTAACATTCTCTTCTATTTCCCCCTTCTATAAATATTTAACACTTTAAGCCAATATTTATTGAACTTTGGACACAGATAGTCTTAAGCAAACTTGAACTTAGAACCTAGTTCTATCAGCAGTATTTAACATAAATATCTAGAGAAGGTGAAGGAATATTTAAAAATTTACAATTTTCTTTCACTTTACGAAGGGGTTCAATTGAAAGTGGAAAATCCGCGAAATTCAATTTTAATCAAACATTCCAGAATTTATAAATATTTATTTTCAGATTAATAAATTTCATCTGATTGATGCAAAGAGCTGATAAGAGATATCTAGTTGATAAACTAGAGGTTTGATAAGAAATCTGCGGGATAGAAAGCAGACTTCGCTTGGACCTAGATACGGTCCCAGTTCTCAGTTTCATGGTCCAAGGTGAGCGGGCAGAACCTCTACGAGGATTAGAACTGGGCCTGGAGAAGTATTAGTTAGTGAGATTTTAAGATCAAAATGGCATTGGTTGAGAGTAAACCTTTTCTAGGAAATGGAACCAAGACAAAAATTGAACCAGGTGAAAATAAAATACATGCTTCAGATAATTATTTGGATTAGATAGGTTTATCTTAGAATGGGAGACCTAGATTAATCCAGGTTTTTCTAGATTTATCAAGGTTTATCCAGGTTTATCATAAATTATCCAAATTTATCTTGATTTATCCAAATTAATCTTGATTTATTTTCAGGCACTGAACTCGCTTCCCAGTGGACAAACTTTAAATTGAGCAAATCGGGAAAAATTGTCAATTCTTGGTTCGTCTAAGGTTTAGCTGTTAAAAGGAAATATAGCTGACTAAGCGTTAAAATCATAAATTTTAAAAAAAGGTTTTCCGTTCAGGGTTATCTAGGCTCACAAAATATGTCTAGGTTATCAGCAAATAATTATCCTTTCTTTCGTTTTATAATTTTCTATCCCATTAAAATGTAGTCCCTAGTTTTAAGACCTTTAAAAACTAATGAACTGATAACAATGTTTATATAATATTTTGATTTGATAAACAAGATTTGATTAATAAACCGATTTTTCGGAATACAGACAAAAATAAAACCTCATGTTAGTAGTTACCAGCAAGAAACAAAACTGTTATTTGAAGCTTAGAACAATTTGTCCGATGGCATTTCATTTTTGCGTTTGCGGTTTTATTATTTTGAAGATTATAACATGAGTAGAACAACTAGGATAAAGTTTTACAATTTTATAATGAAACAAATATATAAACTGTCAACGAAACCTTTGAAAAATAAAGAAAAGTTTCTGAAACTTATAATAATAAAAATTTTGTTTAAAGATGTCTGTGTTTTGTTCTGTTTTGTTTCTTGAAATAAGCAACGCTAGTTTTTTCTTGATTTTTTATTTTATGAAATCATCGCGTATTGCTATATTTGAAATATAGAAGATTAAAGTTGAATCACCAGAGCTTTAAAATTTAGAATTGGATACCATATATACTTATCTTTTAATCTGAATATCCCCTGTGAACACTTTTGATTTATGCTTAGTCTGCTCTTTTTCCCACTTTTTGGATATCTCTACCGGATTCCGACCAATGAAAAATATCCCGGCTTATGTTTGGCGGTTCGGTATATACAATCGACACTCTGATTGGTTGCATTTTAGATACTTTCCTGGATACGAACTAAAGATTAATAACAAGCTTATGGTTAACAAAAAGACGATGATCTCGATATCCACAATTCTAAAGTTTTCAGCTCAGCTTTCGTTGTCATTAATTCTTAAATATAAAAAAAATGCGTTAATAAGTTAATTAATTGGTTTTTCAGATTACTAATTTGGTAATTGAATAATTAATGAAGTTTTATGTCAGTTATTTATGATTAATTTAATGAAATAACTAATCTGTTTAATTGAATAATTAATTAGTTGATTAAAACGTTATGTCAAATAAATAATTAATCAGGTAATTGAATAATAGTTAGTAAATTAAAGAAGTAATTAGTTATTTAATAATAATAATAAATTCGATTAAAGGAGTTCCTTGTTTTAGGCGGCTGTTGTCATTCTAAACACACAAGGAATTGCTGCTTCATCAGCTGTGTTCTTGGTTCCGTCTTCCTGCTCCTCGGAGTAGTTGTTCTAGCTGCAGGGCACGGTTTATTAATGAGATTAGTTCTCTCCACAATGCCTCTGAAGCCTGGTAGTGAGAGATATCAGTCCTGGCTTACTCCACCAGTAGAAGCTCATCTTACAGGTGAGTTAAACCGACTATAAGGAATATAAGTCTGAGTGACATTCAATATTCTCTGGTTCACAATGGTACCCCTCTAACCTTAGACAGATCGAGGACGGAGATCTCAGTGTAAATATCTCTTAAACCCTGCGGGAAAAGTGTAAAATTTGAAGTAAATGCTAGCGTACTGTGTGAACTCAACACGGATGACATCACACTCCTGGACAATCTAGAATATTAATTGCCCAAGGCAGTTTTCAAAACTTGAAATGTGAATATTTTAATTCTGCTTCTTCCTGGAAGCAAATATTAATGTTCCTTAAAAATAACAGCTTGCAAGCAAAGTGTTCAACCATTTAAAGCGCTTCTGAAGATAAAACAGGAAAAAATTGTCATCCTTGGATCAGTCGAAGGTTTAAAGGGAAACAATGTGAATCCGAGATTCCCCTCTTTAAATGGAAGGTCACTTGAAATAACGCTTGCAGTCCCTTTAAATGATTTTAATTTTTAATCAGAGTTTTTTTTTAATAGTTCACAAAAATTTACGATATTAAACTTAGATCCTTTTCTTATCAATTTCAATTTTATTTTGATTTATTAACATCTATAAATGTTTCCAGTTGTACATTATACAATTAAAATTCTAGTCTAGATACAAACTGAAATTAGAGACGGGAGCTTTTAAAGTAATATAATGAAATTATTTGGCTTTATATCACCTTAACAGATTTGTTAACTATTAAATGATCTGAGCTGAAAACTTTTGAATTCTTGATATATCGAGATCAATACTTGATCCCCTCTTTTTATTAATCTGAAGACTAATCTAATCTTATGTTAATATCCGGGATATTGTCTAAACTGTAACTAATCAAATGCCGATTGTAGAAACCAAACATGCATTTATGAATCTAGGCATATGTTGTCTAGGCATTCATGAATTAGGTATAGTGAACTAGGCATTCACGCACAAGGCATAATGTTACTGAGCCCTATCAGAAGCCGAGAAATAAAAAAATGTTGTCGTGTAATCATTGAGATAACTCGTATTGGTTCGAAGACTGCAGGGATATTCAAAAGAGAGGATTAAGCAGAAAATCAAAAGTGTACACAGTGGATACAGAGATTTAGCAATCAGGATTAAGAATAAAGGATTACAAGAATTTTCAGCTCTGTTTCCCTTCTAATAGATAGATTTATTAACTCTCATAATTTCAAACTGTGGGGATTTTTTCAAATGATTGATGGTTTATCTTCTGGCGAGGAAATAATGAGTTTACGAGGTGTGATCAATAAGTTTTGCTAAAAAAATATTAGGAGTACTTGTAACAAGTCTCAGCCCTGAAATTTTATTTAAGTTCACTATCTATCCCTGATTATTTTTCAGATCAGTTGATGTTAACCAGATCTTTGTTGTAATGTTAGGAGCGCTCTTCCGAAAGTAAATCAGCTTCGTTCGTCACAGCAAGACAATTTTCAGAATGGTCTGAAACTCGATCCATCAGTCTGTCTTAGACTATTTAAGAGCAATCAAAAGAAAAGAGAGATTTAGTATTGAATGAGGGAAGGACGGACTTCTGATGATTTTTCTGGTTTTGATTTACATTTAAGATCCATAATCAATGTAATCCCGTTGGTCCTATGTCGGAGACTTTGGCAAAAATTTAAACCAGATCTTTGTCATTTTTAATCTTTCTTTACAGCTTTGTTTACAATGTAAAAGCATATATCAGAGTTGTCTGACAAACATACTTCTTAAACCCTTTCTTATATGGTTTCAACAAATTTCAATATTTTCGATCCTTGTTGGGGTCAATTGATAGTCTTTTTCCTAGAGGACTTTCATAATCCTTCAAATATTCAATTTTACTTCTTAACCCATAAAACCACCTTAAAAGTTGATAAAATGCCTTCTGTATCATGTTTTAGGAGGGTACTGCTTGGTTTTTGCATCATCTATTAAAAAATGTTTTGGGTAAACAAGCCTTTAAAGTGTCCTCTCTCTCTTGTCAATATTCTAGCTATTCCTATGCCGTGACAACGATGCTAACCCACGTTCAGAAGAACGCTCCTTAAGTCACAACAACAATTTACTTGAGGCTATGAACCTGGCCAAAAATGTATCCGGTAAAGATAAAGTGAACTTTAAAAAAAATTAAGATCTGGGACTTCTAGAATATCTCTAAAAAACGTTAGCGAAACTTATTGATCACAGTTGTAACGTATTCCATCATTCCATAAGTTCCTAACTCGGATAAACTTGTATTTAAAGATAACAAATCGATTAAATGCACTTTTTGCAATCTTTATCTTTCCATTTTCCTTAAATAAAAAAGCGGTAAATATGGAAACCTCCCGTTTTAACATTTACGTAAAACGAATCTGCCCAGAAACTATTGTGTTAGACATTTTAATCCCGTTCGCTTAATCTTGAAATCCACTGTGGACACTATTGAATTTCTGCATAATCCTCTTTTGAATATCCCTGTTGGGTTCCGACCATTGAAAGTTCTCTCATTGTTTGCGCGCTAAATTTACCGGCTTCTGATTGGCTCTTTGGTTTCTCAAAACGACTCCTAACTGGTTGAATTTTAGAAACTTTCCTGAATATCAAATAAAAATTAAATTAATCTGTAGATCTCGATATCCACAGTACAGTATAAAAATTAAGTGTACTGTCTGAATCAGATAAAGTACTATTCATAGAATGATTTGAAGTTTTACATCTGTTCAAAGTTGTTCATATTATATTAAATACATTTATTATTGAAACATGATATTTTCTTTCTAAATTGCATTTTAGGCAAAGGAAAAAACAATTCTTTGAAATGCATTATAATATTCATGTGAAAAAATGTGCTTGCTTTCTGAAACGCTAAAATTGTTGCCAAAAAAATCTATTAAAATATTCAGTGCATCCTGAATCTGCGTCAATGCTTTCATATTTAGTCGTGTTGCAGGGATTTCTTCTCCAATACTCGCATCAAAAAATTAAAAATTTGAAAGAAAAAAAACCTTATCATTTTAGGATAGAAACATTCTTTTATTTGTAAGGATAATTTTCTAGAGAATATATACTTGGTCCTGTGATCAACTCTCTAGGAAATATTTAAACTACTACTTGTCAAGTTAATACGCAGAAAATAAATATAGAATTTACGTTTTAACAGCTAATAAATGAGGCCATACTATCACTTTAATATTTCTGTACAGGAAACCTTTTCATTGGTTGGGGGGGGGGGGGATTTGAATAATCTATTTCACAGAGAAATGTCTTCAGCACATAATATTGAGAAATTATTATTGTTAATAATTATGTTTTAATAAAACTTCCTACATTTTAAACTGTTTTTCGTTTAAGTTTGCTTTTATAAAAAAGAACCAAAAAAGATCGTTGTACGGTGTTAGTTATTTTCCCAAAGGCATTTTCCCAAGGTCGACTTTCCAAGTGACAATTTCCATGTGGCAATTTCCCAAGCGGCAACTTCCCAAAGGATATGTTAGGCCTTCTGAGGCTCCGCAGGCTGCTCTGGGGTCCGAGCGCTGCGGCCAGGACAGATTAAAATACCTGTGGGAAGTTGGCGCTGTTGAAAAACCTAACATTGTTTCAACACTGCAGTTTAACACGTTTTTATAATATATTTTATATTTTCTCTTAACAACTAAATTTTGCACAGTGTATGAGAAGAACAAGTACTTGAAATACCTAGACCCATAATTAACCAACAACTATCTATCTATCTTGCTACATTTTCATTAACAAAAATCTTAATATTAAGAACTAGCTTAGGTGTCCGGCTTTGCCCGTGGGATTAAAAAAAATTTGCCTTTGCCACCCCCAGGGTACCAATGGGTTCCCTAAAAAATTTCAGCCAATTGGTCTAGCCGTATATGTATAGATATATATAAGCGAAAGCTTTATTTTATAGAAATTTAAACATGTTGCAGAATAATAATGATATCTTGATCTAGGATATGCTTTCCATGTGACCAACCCTGATGATGTTGTGATGGGGATGAAACCAATCCTACAGGAGGTTGGACCCTTTGTTTACAAATCTGTCACAATCAAGGATTCAAGAGATAATCTTGTGTTCAATGAGGACGGAGAAACCCTTACTTATAAACCTAGGTGAGTCCTGTTACAAATCACAGGATTATAGTTTTTAAAAAATTCTGAAATTTTGATAACTCGAGAATCATTGAGTGCATTCATTTTTATCATTTTTACATAATTGATGATAAAATTTGTTTTAGGAAATTTTATTATTTGGATGAAGAGCAGAGTATAGGAGACCCGGATAAAACCTTTATCACAGTTCCAAACATACCTCTTCTCTCAGCTCTCTCGGCAACGAAGAACGAGAAAGGGTTTGGGAAAACTATCAAGGTTGATTTGATTCTCAAGGAAGGACGTGGAACTCCATTTATAAATGTGTCTTTCAGTGGACTTCTCTGGGGGTAAGTGAATATTCTAATTTATGATGATTTTAGTTCAAACAATTCGATAAGAAATTTTTAATAGATATAAAAAAATGTCCAAAATTGTTAGTACCTCATCATTATCAGGTATGAGGACTCCCTACCCTGCCTGAAGATGACTCCTCCTGAACACTGTCCTAAACCTGTTTCATTCAACTCATTGGACGAGGAGGAGGACCAGGAGGAACAGGACGATTTCTTCGAGGACGAAGGTTGGAAAAGGAAGAAGAGATCTATCCCAGATCTACGTGATGCAGATTTTGAATCCTGGGAGAAGCCTAAGGGAGGGTTTGTCAACTGCACCTGCAACTGGGGACTCTTTAGGGATAGAAATGTTACGCTGAGAGAACCGGTGAGAATATTTTTCAATTTAGAATATTTATTTATATATTTATTTGCTCTTTTTTTCTTAAGGTGACAATGCATCATGGTTTGTCCAACCTACGGATGAAAGGTTGGGTTAAGGAGTTCAACTCCAGTCCTGTCTTGAACTGGTGGGAACCTGGATCTAAATGTGACGAGGTTGGAGGACAGGATGGAGGAACTCTACCTCCAGGTGTACTCCAGGACGAATCCCTGGATATATTTATCTCCCTGATGTGTAGAAGACTGAGCCTAAACTATGAGAAGGATGAAATCTATCCTGAGGATCTGGTGGCACGAAGATATATTCCTGATGAGAATGCTCTCGGCTCCCACACAGATACTGATCTTGCCAGGTTAAACATAAACTAAACCTAATCTAACATGTTCTTAGTTCTTCTTAGTGATGTTTTTAGTGATTACGTGATGTATCAAACTGTATGTCCATGTATCTGGTCAAGAGTTAAGTCAGGACATATTAAGATTAAGTTTAGATATTTTGTATCGCAGCCCTTGACTTAATTTCATTAAGCGTAAGTTTAACTCTTATTTCTAGGAGAAACGAGGATAATAAATGCTATTGTTTGCCTGGGTTTAAGTGCTTGAGATCAGGAGTACTGAATATGGCTCCATGTAAGCGTAGTCCTAGTATGCCTACTGGAGCTCCCTTAGCTCTCTCCTATCCTCACTTTTACCAGGCCGATCCTCATTTTCTCCAGGTACATTTATAGCAGTCATTGTCAGAAGAATGATGGTGGGCTATGGTTCCTTAAGACCCCCCCCCCCAGGAGAATTTAAAAAGTTAAATTCTCCCTTAAGCAAATAACTGTTAACATTCGTCCCTAGATTTTCTGCAGATTTCCCTCTTTATCCTTAATAACCATGAAAATGAAATTGAATGGATTATCATCAAATCTTGTCGTAAGTCCTGACCTGATCTGGTTGGGATTTGGGTTCAAATTTAGGCAGGGGGTCCTAAACTCATCTGTGGGTTTGGGTTCAAATTTTGTCGGGGGTCCAAACTTGATCTGGTTTGGGTTTGGGTTCAAATTATGTCGGGGGTCCAAACTTGATCTGGTTTGGGTCCAAATTACGTCGGGGTTCCTCATCTGATCTAGGTGTCTTTAGCCAGTCAGTTATGTAAAAGGGGGGGGGGACAACTCGACACTTTGTGACACCAGATTTTGTACAAACTGCGTTTGGTCCTAATAATTGAGATAGAAGGCTAAAGTTTTGCATGCAGCCTCTAATCATGGTCATCTACATAGATCACGAAGAAAATTTAATATCGGAGGTTATTGACCTCCATTATGACCTCCATAAACTCGGAAAATACGGGAAAATACAACTTTTTTCACTCCAATTTAATTATTATAAGTTAATCAGGCATGTTTTCATATTATTTGCTACCACATAAGTCATGGGAGGTATCAAATCATAGGTTTTTTGGTGTTCCGATTCCATTCTGATACCCTTTTTTTCCTCAAATGATCCTGGAGGTCGTGACCTCATAAATTTGCTTACCTCTGGAGGTCAAAATATTGATACAATGATAATAAGTCATGTGAGGTATCAAATTATAGATTTTTTGGTATTCCTATTCCATTCCAAAATGGGTACATTTTGGATCTTGGATAGTTCAAATTCTTTATTTTCATTTGAAGTCAAGAAGGCTCCTCGGAATGAGCAGCAGTAAAAAACCAATGATTTGATACCTGACATGATCCATGTTCATGATGGTTCATTGAAGATCAAAGACATTTCAGTGTCCGAATTTAATGAATTTAAGCCGCGTCTCAAATCCCCCAAAAACCGTTTTCAATTGAGCGCCGGCTTAAATCTTGAAAAATTTAATACAATTATAAGTGAAACCAACCATATTTGAGCCGCGGCTTAAATTTAAGCCGCGGCTCAAATTCTTTAAATTTGGCCTCAGGACTCTCAGATTAAAAAATGTTAGTATTGGATTCAGAAAAACAATGATTTGATACATAAAATGCCCCATTTTCATTGATTTCATCCTTAGACCTCCGGAGATCATTGATATCTGGAGGTCAGGGACATTTAGAACTAACAGGTATTAGAATGGAATCAGAACACCAAAAAATCTATGATTTGATACCACAAATGACTTTTTTTCATTGATCTCATAATTTGACCTTCAGAAGTAAGCAAATTTAGGAGGTCACGATCATCTGAGGTAAATAAGGGGTATCAGAATGGAATTAGATCACCAATTAACTTATGATTTGATACCTCACATGACTTATTTCATTGATTTAATATTTTGACCATTTTTGGAGGTCAATATCGAAGAGAGGTGAAACTGGAGGTCAAATATTTGTGTCAATATCAGCGATGACTTATGTCATAGCAAAAAATATGAAAACATGTCTGAGTAACTTATAATAATTGAATTGGAGTGAAAAAAGTGGTATTTTCCGAGTTCATGGAGGTCATAATGGAAGTCAATAATCTCTGATATTAAATTTTCTTCTTGATCTATGTAAATGACCACAATTAGAGGCTGCATGCAAAATTTCAGCCTTCTATCTCAATTATTTGGACTAAACGCAACTTTGGTGTCACAAAGGGTCAAATTGCCCCCCCCCCCCTCCCCCTTAAGCTCTCAAAATGGAAATTGAATTCTCGTGTTCATAAAAATCTGACAAAAAAAAATATAGTAAACTGTCTGCAATCAGATCATTAAAGAAGAAGGCTGCATATTTACCAGAGAGAGGGGCTAACGAATAACTATTTATTAAAAGCAACTTCATGTATTCAACCAGACATAAAAGATTATCCTTTACAAAAGGTTTAAAATTTTCACAAAAGTAATCTAAGTTTTAGTTTTACTTTTTCCTTTTTGCTTGTTTTATCATACGTTATCAATAAATCTTCAAATCAACCAAAGAGAAATAAAATGAATATTAATTTTACTGATTTCTCACCGCTTAAGTAAACTTTCAAAATTGTTTACATAGTTTTTTGTTCATCTCTTCCCGGTAAAAACTTCAGATTTGTGTTTTGAGAATTAAAAGATTTTTTATATTTATAATATTTGCCACATGGATCCGGAATTGAGGATTTACATAATTTTGTGGATCCGGATCCGGATCCGGATCCTAAGCACTAATGGAAAGTCCATTAAACTTCATCTTTACAGAAATAAATGTTGAAGTTAAGATTTCTCAAAACTCTAGATATTTTGTGAAAGTTTGAAATCTGTAAAACAAATATGGGAATTGAAACATTTTAAAGTTTGTTTACCCGAGGGTTCGTATAGATACAACATCACTACGCATTTGGTTGTGAACCAAACCCAATATGAATATTTTAGGAAGTAACCAAGCTTTCATAAATCTGTTATAAAGATGCTTGATGTATGATGAAGATCGATTCTTCCATTATATTATATAAACTAACCCAAATTTAAAAAGAAAAAGAGTTACACTTTTTTTGCTTCTCTCTATTTTAAGATCGATATGTCAAAGTTTGACATGTTAAGATGAAATTATTACTTAAGAGTTCTAAATACGAAATCGTATTAGGTAACGCTTTAATGTTTACTGTTGTGACCCGGTGTCCTGCATCAGTTCAACTTTCCTTAAAGTTTTCATCAATTCAACACAATTTTAGAAATAAAAAAAACATTGTTAAAACATTTAAAATTATTAGTTTACATTAATTCTGAAATGTATGGTTGAAGCGGGAAAACGCAAAAAGAGTTATTTTCCCAAAAATGTCGTCTTCCTTTCATTTGATAAAAAATCAATATTTGTTTGAAGCTCAGTCTACAGATAATATGTTATGTGTTTTTCCAATCTAAATATATTAACAAACATCGGCAAGTGTCATAATACTGATTTTGATGTATAAAATTGTGTTCAAATGGTTAATACACTTGAGGGAGATGAACTGTCGCACGACACCGGGGCATGAAACTCTTGCAGTGGAGAATTTGAAACAATGACATTATTGCTTATTTAGGCAGTAGAAGGATTGAAACCTGAGAAGGAACGGCATCAGTTCTATCTAGATCTTTCCCCGGAGTTTGGTTTCCCACTTGCAATCCGTCCTAGGTTTCAGCTCAACCTCATCATATCTAGGGACGAAGATATTCCTATTCTATCGTAAGTACTTTTTTACTATGGCATGTAATTTGGTTTGAGGAATTTATTCTTTGCCAAAAACTCGAATTTTGTAATTCCTATATCTTTAAAACCTGATTATGTAATTATTGTAAACCTTTGATATTTCAAACTTACTTATAAGAAAGTCAAAGTTCGTGTCAAATACTTCATTCCTTTGGTGTTTTTAAAGACTAAACAATTTTTTTTTTATTTCTTTAAAATGTTTCCTTGTTTCAGAAAGTTCCAGGAGGAGCTGGTTTTACCCTTCCTATGGGCCCAGGACGGGTTCGATCAACCCAGCGATGTGATGGCAAAATCTATCCGGAAAGGATTGGATATTCCTGAGAAGTACTCAAGGTTGATTGGGTAAGCAGATTTAAAACATTTTATATCTACATATTTACGTATAGTAATATCTGGTTTGTTTGTTTGTCTGATCATAACTCATTAACCCTTGGACACAATCTCCTCAAATGTTGATTGTGGAACTCGTTTTTCACACAAATGTTGATTGTGGAACTCGTTATTCACACAAATGTTGATTGTGGAACTCGTTAGATTCACACAAATGTTGTAACTGGGTTTAACATTTCTAAGTTAGCTCATTTTCATGAACAGTTTAGTTTCAAGGCAAAGCTGGATTTCCAAGCTGTCAGTCGATGAATTAAAATCATTCAATATATTTTGATTGTTTTCTAATCTTTAGAACATGTATCAAAAATGGTCAGCACACATAATTAGATTTTTATTTTTTGTGATTTGATTGTTTGTTTAATTTAGTGTTGTCCTGCTGGGACTAGGCGGAGCACTACTCTTGGGTAGTCTAATCTGGATTCTCTGGAATAAGAGATATAACAGTCAGCTGGAAACCATCCCGTTGAAATAATTCTCTGAACATAATCAGGGGTAGGACTATTTAGAATCTTCTCACCCAACTGACTTGAAGGAACTACAGACTTAATTTTGAAGTGACCCCCAATTCATGAGTGACATGTTCAATTCACAACTTTACCATAACAAGCTTTGTTTGAATTAGATATTCATGGTTTCTTGAAAAATGATTATTTTCAATTGGGGGTTCTCTTCAAAAGTGTTATGTGCTTTTCTGCTGTAGAAGCAATGAAAGAATTTTTGGAAATATAAAAAATACGATATCTTGATATGTTCCACATTATTGATCAAATCAAGGTTCCAAGGGTACTGTTGTGAATCGTGTATCTCTAGGCTTTCAATATCATTAAAACACTCAACTGGGATCTCTGTCTCAAGAACACTAGGATTTCTATATCTCTAGAACATTCAACTAGGATCTCTAGAACACTTAACTAGTATCTCTATATCTCTAGAACATTCAACTAGGATCTCTATATCTCTAGAACACTCAACTAGGATCTCTATATCTCTAGAACACTCGACTAGGATCTCTATCTCTAGAACACTCAACTAGGATCTCTATATCTCTAGAACACTCAACTGGGATGTTTATATCTCTAGAACATTCAACTTGGATCTATATCTCTAGAACACTCAACTAGGATCTCTATATCTCTAGAACATTCAACTAGGATCTCTGTATCTCTAGAACATTCAACTTGGATCTATATCTCTAGAACATTCAACTAGGATCTCTATATCTCTAGAACACTCAACTAGGATCTCTATCTCTAGAACACTCAACTAGGATCTCTATCTCTAGAACACTCAACTAGGATCTCTATATCTCAAGAACACTCAACTAGGATCTCTATATCTTTAGAATACTCAACTAGGATCTATATCTCTAGAACATTCAACTAGGATCTCTATATCTCTAGAACATTCAACTAGGATCACTATATCTCTAGAACAATCAACATGGATCTTTATATCTATAGAACACTCAACTAGGATCACTATACCTCTAGAACACTCAACTAGGATCTCTATATCTATAGAACACTCAACTAGGATCTCTATATCTCTAAAACTCTCAACTAGGATCTCTATATCTCTAGAACACTCAACGAGGATCTCTATATCTCTAAAACTCTCAACTAGGATCTCTATATCTCTAAAACTCTCAACTAGGATCTCTATATCTCTAGAACACTCAACGAGGATCTCTATATCTCTATATCTCTAGAACACTCAACTTCTCTACATCTCTAGAACACTCGACTTAATTCTAGGAAAATCAAATCAAATCTTAAATTCAGAAGTGTTTTTTTGTTTTAAGATACCTGTGTCCGAATTTAATGAATTTAAGACGCGTCTCATATCCCCCTAAAACAGGTTTCAATTAAGCACCGGTTTAAATCTTGAAAAATTGAATACAATTTTAAGTGGAACCAACCATATTTAAGCCGCGGCTCAAATTCTTTAAATTCGGCCTCTGGCTGAAACTATTTGATTTTCTGGATTGCGAGCTATTTAATGTAAATGTGATTATAACTGAAATATATGTGTTTAGGCTGTGTAATGTGTTCAGAGAGAGTTCACGATATATAGGCTGTGTACTGTGTTCAGAGAGAGTTCACGATATATCAGTCTCACTATACCAAGCTGAATTCAACCTGTACCTTAGCCAACAAATATCAAATATTTTTGTAAAAAATACTAAATCAAAATATTTTTCAATACACAACACTTGTGTTATGTAAATATCGTTAGGTCTAGAAGAGTTATCAGGATTATTTGTTTGTACTGCAGTGTAATGCATGTATTGGATAGTGGTGTCTAGTATGGCACTGAACTGATATGCACTCACTGCTTTGTACTGCAGTGTGCGGCATCTATTGGATAGTGGTGTCTAGTACGGCATTAAACTGATATGCACGTATGCTTTGTACTGCCTGTATTCGAAGATTATACATGTAATGTATCAGTTTTACACAATACATGAAAAAATGGAAGTAAAAAATTACTGTTATACAGTAATTACATTTTTTCAACAAGCGCCATAAATAAATTGTAATCTATCAATGTGGAATTATTCATTCTGTTCCTTATTACCGAGCTAAAGTAAATGTTTACTAGTCTTTACTAAAATAATTCTTTACAAGTTAACAAAACCCTTGGTTTTGTTTTTATTTAACTTTTTTTTAGCTCAAAACTCATTTTGTAGTTGTTTGATTATATTACTTCACAACACAGCTTCATTTCTACAACTAGTTTTACTATAGTTGGATTTTTGGAAATTTTAATTTGAAATCAGTTTTATAATAGTGAAATGTTTTTGATTAAATGATTAATATGTTTGATAATAGTTGTACAAATCTATGTGATTTTCAACGTATTGTGTTTGCATGTTAATAAACAATTTTAAGATAATCTATTTTGAAAACTTTTCATATCTTATGGACCTCGAACTTTATTAACTGTCAAGCATTACACTGTTAAGAGTAAATATGTAGTAGTCGTCTTAATCTTATAATTACAGATGTGAAGGTGGACTGAATCAGGAGCAAAACTGTTTCCTACTTGCAATTCTAAAGCATGATCATAAAATACAGTTTTACAAAAATCGAAAATGGCTTCCTCAAATGTGTTTGAATAATAAAAAAATTTAAAGCAGGTTAAAATGTAGAGTGACTTATTGGGAGAATTTGGACACCCAGTGCCGCGTTTGTCTTTAATCCCAAAATTAGCTTGGAAACCCAGCTTTGCCTAAACTTATCTCTATACAACTCAACCAACTCGACTTAAAATTTTTATATCAAACTAACAACATTCCGTGGTTCAACCGAGGATTCTTTAGGAGGATTTTTTTTCCAATTAACCTGAAATTTGAATTTAGTCTTGGACTTATAGAATTTTTTTTAGGCAAGCCGTTGGATGTGCTGTGCTTCTACCTTATTTAAATTAAAATCCTTGGAATTTGTAAAATCTTTATAAATGGTTTTTATTGATAACAATTTATTCTTATTTTTAATTAACGTTTCATAGCTAAAGTTATCCTATTTGTATACTCGGTATTAAACCACCAAAACTTAAGGATGATCATTTTTATGTAATTTTTAAAGAGTTAGTTTAAAAGAGGCAATTTATTATCATTTCTTTGAAACGTAATTAGCCAGCTTCTTTATTCAAATAAGAACTGGGAGTGAATGTATAGTAGTATCCCGTCTACGGACCAATGATGAAGAATACTTCCAAGGTCGAACTAACCATTTAATACGGTAGTGTACTGTACTTTTTATAAGTTATGTACTAATTAATTCAAAAATTTGAAGCTAATTGGCCCAGGGGTTTATGAGCTACGGGGTGTCCCACGAAGCATCACAGTTGGTAAATAGTTTTGAATGTCGTCTTCCATACACGGTATTAGATATAGTAAAGGCTTTATGCAATTTATTTCGTTTAAAAAATCTTTTGTTCAAATATATTTTACTTTGAAATTGAAGTTAATTTTACGATGACATATAATATTTTTATTATTGTCTTTGGTATTAAACAATTAAACAATAAATGGAAGAAGACATTATAAACTATTTACCAGCTTTCATGTTTCGTGAGACACCCTGTATGATCGGACAAATAAATAAATTCAAACAGAGATTACTACTTTATATATATATATATATATATTCTTTGTATTTTAACCGGAATATGTTCTCCATAAAGGAAATATTTAATAAAACTTAAAGGGATTGTTCACATTTTGAATTTTAGAAAATTTAGGAGCAACACATTCTCATCCTTCGTGGGTAACCCTGTATGACGTCACAGCTCCCTCTTATTTCTTCCGACAAATCCTTTTTTCGTAAGGGCGTTGCTTCTATTTTTTTCAAATGTATTTTTGTAAGGAACATGCAGTGATAACCAGTAAACTCTAAAATAGGAAGACGAATTTATAGCAATATTTAAGTTTATTTGATTTTGTTACAAAGCAAATAGTTTTACTAGACACTTTTTACATCACAAATAAAGTGAATGGATCTGTTTACACTGCACAATTTTTGCATCCCATGCATATTGGAGTATTTAAAGTCAAAACTTGAGTCTAAATGGCGACTTCCTATTCCAGAGTTTACTAGTTATCACTGTAGCAATTGGTTTTAATTTGCTTCAGGGAAATAAAAAAATTCCATAAATTGTTGAATGGCCACTGAACCTTCATAAGATAAGATGCTTCATAAAAAAAGATGAAATATCTTAAACCTTTAAAATGTTTCCTTTGTAAAATAAAAACTTTATCTTGCGCATTTCTTCCCACAATATTTATCCTTAGTGGGAATATTTAACGTTAAACCTATTTTCAATTTAGTTAGCAAAGTTGATAGACGAAAACGAAAACAAACAAAAAATTATCTTAAAAAATGTAAAACAGTGTTAAAAAAATCGGAATAATTTATTTTTAAAGAAAAAAGAAATATATTGGGCATTTTAAACGTATTTTTCATTATCATTTTGTGCGCTAATAAAATAAGAATAAATAGTAATGAAAACAAAGATTATGTGGGGGGAAAAAACCAGTTCTGAAGAGCTCTACAGTCTACATTAAACAATTCATTAACATTAAAACCTCTCCTCACTTTCAATACCACTGTGTCTGATCAATAAAATATTCGTATTTTTCTTCTTAAAAATAGATTTTTCTCTTGTTGTTTCTCCATAAAAGTGACAAAGGCAATTTTGCTTAACAAACAATAGGAAAAAGCCAGAACTTGACACTTCTCAATCTAGAAAAACAGCGATTTCTTTTCCATTAATGATCAGATAAAGGTTTAAATGGTACCGTTGTGAATCAGTCATTCCCATCTTTAAATACAACGATTAATTTCTGAATAAAATTTTGTAAAGGATTTTATTTTTATTTATCCACAACTCTTAGTTCTTGAGTATTGAATTTGTTATTTGGAATGAGGTTTAGGAGAAGAAACCCTGTGTTTTCTTACTCGCCAGAATGTCTTGCATAAATTCTCTCCGATCTTGGTCCGCATGCATATACTAAACAAATAAACTTCAGCCCAGGATTAGAATCATTTTTCAACCTTCTACATTTAAATTAATTCCGTTTTTCTCATCTTAAGTAAACCCCTTTTTCGAAGCCTGCAAGAATCTCACCTTGGATTCAAGAATATCCTGGGATGTCTCACCAGGGATTCAAGAATATCCTGGGATATCTCACCAGGGATTCAAGAATATCCTGGGATATCTCACCAGGGATTCAAGAACATTCTGGATATCTCACCAGGGGTTCAAGAATATCCTGGGATATCTCACCAGGGATTAAAGAATATCCTGGGGTATCTCACCAGGGATATAGGAATATCCTGGGATGTCTCACCTGGGATTCAAGAATATCCTGGGATATATCACCAGGGATTCAAGAATATCCTGGGATATATCACCAGGGATTCAAGAATATCCTGGGATATCTCACCAGGGATTCAAGAATATCCTGGGATATCAGTAGTGTATTTAGGTTTTATTGAGTACACGAGCGGCGACCAAAATCTCCTAAAGGCTTTTTGCAGTTTATTTATTTAAAAAACTTTCATATAATAAATGTATTTGTCTCTTCAGTATCAAACAACTTATGAAATTATGGAAGAAGACATTTAAACTATTCACCAACTGTCATGTTTCTTGGGACACCCTGTAGAATGTAGATATGATAAAATGTAAACTAAAATGACTATAGTTTCCAAAACAAGTTCAAGCTCAAAAGAATTTAAAATATATCAAGAAAAGTTTTAATAGTATTATATAACAACAAAATAAGATAAAATAAATATTTTTAAAGATCTTAATATTATGTGCTTTTACAAGAACCCAATTGATTTGATCGAGTTTGTAAGATTTATATTTCTTTTACAAGTTTGTCTAGAAAACTTTCTAATGTGTATTGCTATATACAAGTTTACTTCTGCTGGATACATTTAATTTTTACATGATAACATTTATCTAATTGTTAATGGGGTTTGCCGGCTATGAATATTAGATACCATACATATACAGAGTTACCCACTAAGGATGAGACTGTAGAGACGACTTGAAACTCTTTGAATATGACGATCCCAAGTTTAAATTAAGTCTGCTGCCTTGAATATGGGCTTTAAATGCCTTATTTAATGAATTGGCAAAGAATGACAGAAGTTTTTGTTGCAGGGAATCAACAATTGAAGGAAACAAACATTATAAATTCCGTACAGTCGTCTCTGAAGTCTTATCCTTTATGGGTGACTCTGTGTTACATACCTGCAAATACACCATTAGTCAAAGAGAATAGAATATATTTTGGAGTGGAATTTACTAGAAAAAAGTGTAAAACGGCCATTTTGTTGTACTGTTTCCATACTGCAGGTGTACTTCACATATTTATGCTATATAACCTTTTGGGCCCTAGAATATCATTTTATAGAAAATCTAATATTAATGTTAAAAGAAAACCANATTGATTTGTTTACGATCCGAGTTGAATGTTGCATCTTTCTGAATTTGTATGGACACTACGTTATTCGGTATTAGTCGTTTATAACAATTTTCTCCTTATAGACGCAACAGATAGAAGTAAGATTAGTAGTGATCAATGGCGCTTTTTTATCGCATTGAGCCTATACCCCCTTTCATTTTTCGCGAACACTCCCTTTAATTTTGATCATTTATTCATTGTTTCTGCGTAAATCAATGTTGCAGAAAACTTCGAATGAAAACAAACAGTTTTAGACAAAATAAAACCTGGATATCTAATTCATGTTTAATCAGACAAAGCATTGTACCGTTGTTAACCGGACAGTATCAATGGAGGGATCCCTTGACATTAAGCTTACAGTTCCTTTTAGCAGGGGCGTATTCAGGAATTTGTCCAGAGAGCTCAGCGCCCGTTGGGACCTGAAAAACCCCTTAAAACAATAGATTTCATGGTCATATACACACTTCCATATAACAAGTGTTAATAAATTATTTATGGACTCATCAGACACTTCCTCTAACCACTGTGGTGTAAGCTTTAATGGGTGAAAAATAGGGATCGAAACGTTTCTTAAAAAATATTTATATTTTAATAGAAACGATACATATTGTATAATTATTAATAATGATATCAAAGATATATTTCCACTGAAGGCAGTATTGATTAAAGCTTTTTTTAATGAAACTTTTTTAGTTAAGGGCAAAAGTGAGATTTAAAGTATTTTTTAAATGGGTGCCCTCCCTCAGGGGGACGCGTAGGGGGACCCCCTCGTACGCCCCTGCTATTTAGAATAATATCGTGCTCTAAATAATTATTCCCCCAGCTCTTAATTATTCATCAAATGATCAAATATGCTTTAACATCTCGATATACGTTCGCAAAGATTCAACGATGCACAGTAAACTTAAAAGGATAAAATTTAAATAAGAAGAAAACGCACGGAACACCCTAACTCCCAGTTCTAAGGTATTACCTGGTACATAGGGAAGAGTTTAAACCACTGCTGGAGCATGTTGTACAGGTTCTGGGACACGTCATCCTGGGTCTCACGCAGCTTGTCGCTAAAGGAGTAACCTAGACATTTTTTTAGCATGGAAAGTTATATTCAATAATTTTTCTTACGGGGTTTACCTGCTCCGACTGGGTTATCAATGTATATGATATTATGTTTTCTATGCCAGGAGTAAGGATTGTCACGAACTCCGAAGTTTCCGTTTTCATCATTTCCAGAGAGTAAAGGTCCGTGGAGTTTTAAGAGTCCGAACATAGATGAACCTCCAGGTCCTCCCTGGAGCCATATTACTACTGGAGCAGTATCAGGGTTCTCTGCTGCAGGGAAGAACCAGAAGAAAATGTTTCCATTGTTCTCCTTGTCTGCAGTAATGAACCCAGAGTAGCTCTCGATATCACTGTGTGTTCCCTATAAGGACAAAAGATATTTAAAATATTTAAACAACAGGTTTGGAATGTTTGAAATTGACTCTTGATTAGGAATTTTCTATGAAATTAAGAACTTACATATTATGTCTAAATTAAAAATATGCTAAATGTAATTCAAAATTTTATAAAATCTAGTGACCTCCAGGAGGGTGGAGTCAACCCTGGCGAGGTTGCGTCCTGTCTCCACATCTCCAGATTCAATGTAGGGGGTGAGAAACAGAGGTTCTCCGACATCCTCTACTCTAGTCTTAGGGAAGTTTCGGACCGGCTGCAAAACTGTGGATCATCCACATTTCTATCCAGTATAATATATTGATATATTAATCATTTTCAGGAGGGACCCCTTCCCTCCGATGATGATGAAACTGAGGAGGATAGTTCCGAAGGTGAAGACACAGTGGATGTAAACCAGAACCCCAATTAAAATAAGCTCTAGAACATTCAAACTCCTGCATAGCCTAAAGCATTTCTCAAGACGCGTCAAGCCATTACAAGGCTCCAACCAACTTAACCTTTTTGGAAAAAAGCCTCAGGCTCTGTCCTTCTAACCAAGCCAACCCGCCCACCACTTAACATTAGTTGCGCAGGTTCCCTTTCCCCCCCTTTCTGAGGACTATAAAAAGGCCGAAATTTTTTTGTGTAAACCAGTGTGAAAAAAGTTCCTAGAGAACAAGGTGATCTGAAGAGCTCTAATATCAGGTCTGGTTTATTAGAAAGAATTTACCCCTTTTGTTCGTAGATATATTTGGGCGTCCGGTCCCTTTTATGTTAACCTTAGATTATAGTTATATTGTGTACTAACCCTCTTTGTTATTTTCTATTGAACAAGTTTTGTTTATTTTATTTGTCGGATATTTTGGTATTTCCAGTCTTTTATATAAATAATTGTATTTCAATAATATTCAAATAAAAGGATAACTTTTCTACTTGGTGATTTTTAAGAAAGATCATTTGCGAGCTTAGAAATATATTGAAAGAAATATCTTAGAGAAAAAGTTTATTTTCTCTATTAGTTTGAAGACTTACTTCTTTATAGAGATAGAGCTATCACTTACATAAGTGGTGCATCTACGACCTTAAACTTTTCAATAAATTGTCCTTAATTTTTGAAACTTGTTTAAAACGTGTCCTTGGCCGTCCGCGTTGTTTTCACAACACAAGTTCTAGCAACAATCTTTATAAAAAATTGATGTGCATGAAATTTAGTTGTTGTATCTTTCTGATCTTTCTTCTAATCAGCTGCATGGTTTCAGGCAAACCGTTTAACACTAAATGTTTCCAAAACAAAGTTTATGATATTTAGGAATAAAAATATGCATTTTGATCCTGAGAACTGCAAATTAAAAATTGGAAATGAGATACTAGAAAGAATAGGAACTGACTGTAGAAATAAATATTGGACTCAAAATTGATGAATTTTTAAATTGGGACTATCAAATTGAACATGTTTCCAATAAGATTGCTAGCTCAATTTTTGCTCTGAATCAGATTAAAAACATTTTACCGTTAAACATTCGTCTACTAGTCTATAATGCACTTGTAAGGCCACATATTGAGTATGGAATTATAACATGGGGGGGTGTAAAAAATGCTAAACTACAGAAAATCAAGTCTTTGCAAAAAAGGGCAATTAGAGCAGTAAATAATAGTTCATTTAAGGCACATTCAGATCCAATATTTTTCAGATTAGAACTCCTAAATCTTGATGATACATATAAACTAGGTGTTCTATCTTTTATGCATAAATACTTTTATGAAAACCTTCCAGCTTCCTTCCAGGATATGTTTAATTCTTTAGCTGAACCAAATAGAACAAAATCATATAAACTTGAGCGAGTTCTCTTTAAAA